TTTTTTTTTTTTTTTTTTTTTAACTATAGTGGAAGAAATTTCTTTCTAGTTATGAAGGAGAATACTGTGGCTGTTTATTCTACTTTATTATGACTTGGACCTTATAAATATTAAATGTAAGCATCCTTAGTCTTTAGCTTGGGGGAATTTTATAAAACCTTCACATTTGTGTATATTTCTGCCTCAAGAATATACCACCCTGGAACCTACTGGAGAGTGAACAAACTGTGGATAATAACAGATTGGAGAGTAAAATCAGTTAGTCCTTGAACTCAAGGAACCTTGACAGACGAAACGCAAGATGCTACATCAGTCAGGTCCTGGCTTTACCCAAATACACTTCTCTGGCCACAGAGAAGTCTTTGGCCAATGCCAATGTGAGGTCCAGATCATACTATTGTACCCAGATGAGCTCAGAACCAGCAGTTTTCTGCCCAGGGTATAGCCTGGGAGGGGGCAAAGGCCAGGCAGGTAGCTGAGGCCCAGCTGCTGCTCCGTGGTGAGGCTGGCAGCCAAGCCTAACGCCAGCCTTTTCCAAAGCGATCCTTTGATAACCCTGATTACATTTCCCTCACTAGAGCCTGGTGCTGACTGAGCAACGGCCAACTTCTGTGGGTAACAAAGAGGAGGGGAAAGTAATCCAAACACAGGTTTTATTATGAAATCCAGGGAGTGAGAGAAGTATGTTTATTCTGTAAGATAGCACACCTGCTCAGGCCCGGGAGGCTCATTTCCATCAGTTGCCATGGCAAACTCGTTATACTTCAGGGCCATGTGGCTTTGTTTCCTTTTGAAATCTGGTCCTTGTCCTACCTTCTCGAACAACTCCAACACAATGGCATGGGAGCCTGCGACAGCATAATTGATTTTTCCTTCTCTCTATCAGCAGTTCACATTTGTTCGGCACAGGCCTGAGTCTGCCTTCTCCTTTGAACTCCTTGCTAACCATGAAGGCATGCTTCGGGAAGCTATCCTCATTAACATTCCAGGTCTCTCTTCACTGTCAGCAATAACAAAGCCTGCATCAATGGCCTCCTTCCTCCCTGCTTTACTGAGTGGCTCAGTTCCATGTTTTGCTGCTGATCCAGGTGCCCAGGCAAACAACTCTGGGCTAAGAAGCATGCAGGAGAGAGTAAAAATAGAACAGCAGCTTGGATGCATACCAGAGCAGCTACTTCATCTCCACACGCTTTGCACACTAAGCCTAATGGGATCCATCAGGCAGGAGTCCTCTCACATTTACCTTCTCCTTCCCCCTCCCTCCCCCTCTCCCCAGCTGCCTTCTTCCATCAGCACCTTCCTGGTGAAGGGAGCAAAGGGAGGTCAGGCATGGGACAAGAAAGATGTGCCCTAGGAAGTCTGGGGAGAAAAGCGAGCAGCCAGAACTTGGTCACTTTTGGTCAGCTACACCGGGCCATGCTTCTCATTGTTTAGCAGTATCACCCCTTCCTAAACCATCTGGATAAATGGGACCTAGGCCCACACCCAGAAGTTAACCGTTCTTTTTGCTGGGCCCACCTGCTTGACTTGAAGCAGATACCCAGTCACACATGGTGGTCTACGAAAGTTATCCACCTCTCACCATTTGCTCTGTGAGTCCAAAAGCATTCTTCAAGAAAAAAAAAAAAAAGTAAGAGTTGGTATTAAGTTAGGAACATACTATCCTGCTTGGATACAGGTCTCCCAGAATGCAGACTGTACTGATTGGATTCTCTTGTGCTGTTTTATGCCTCGTGGTGAACTGTACTGTTCCTGCTGTCAGCCCGACCACCTCCTAAACAGCCAGTCTTCCAAGCTCCACCTTTGTAGCATCCAAAGGATTCGAGAAAGAGGAGTTCCACGGCATTTAAAGAATAAAAACATTTTTGTTGTTGTTTTCCTCTATTTTTTATTTGTATTAGAAACAAGATTGCTTTACATATCAATTCCAATTCCCTGAACCTCCCTCCTCTCCTTCCTTGCCCCCCCCCCCAACTAACACCCTACCTATTCCATACCCTTTCTGCTCCCCAGGAAGGGTGAGGCCTTCCATAGGGGGTCTTTTGAGTCTGTAATATCCTTTGGGATAGGGCCTAGGCCCACCCCATTGTCTCTTGGCTCAGGGAGTATCCCTCTATGTGGAATGGGCTCCCAAAGTCCATTCCTATGCTAGGGATAAGTACTGATCTACTACAAGGGGCCCCATAGATTTCTGAGGTCTCCTCACTGACACTCACATTCAGGGGGTCTAGATCAGTCCCATGCTGGTTTCCCAGCTATCATTCTGGGGACCAAGAGCTCTCCCTTGTTCAGGTCAGCTGTTTCTGTGGGTTTCACCAGCCTGGTCCAGACCCCTTTGCTCATCACTCCTCCTTCTCTGCAACTGGATTACAAATCAGTTCAGTGTTTAGCTGTGGCTGTCTGCTTCTACTTCCACCAGCTGCTGCATGAAGGCTCTAGGATGGCATATAAGTTATAATATAATATCAATCTCATTATCAGGGGAGGGCATTTAAAAGTAGCCTTTCCTCTGTTGCTTAGATCGTTAGTTGGTGTCATCTCTGTAGCTCTCCAGACATCTCCCTAGTGCCTGATTTCTCTTTAAACCTATAATGTCACCCTCTATTATGGTATCTCTTACCTTGTTCTTTTTTATTCTTCCCCAAGCTCAACCTTTCTGCTCCCTCCTGTCCTCCTCTCCCCTCCTCTTCTCCCCTTCTCATTCTAGCTCTCTCTCCCCTGCCCCCATGCTCCCAATTTGCTCAGGAGATCTTGTTCCTCTCCCCTTCTCCGGGGGATGATGTATGTCTCTCAGACTCCTCCTTGTTTCTTAGCTTCTCTGGCGGTGTGGGTTGTAGGCTGGTAATCCTTTGCTCTATGTCTAGAATCCATATATGAGTGAGTACATTGCTGGATCTTGTGGTAGACTGATTCCCGAATAATTTTTTTTGTTTTTTTGTTTTTGTTTGTTTTTTTGTTTTTCGAGACAGGGTTTCTCTGTGTAGCTTTGGAGCCTATGCTGGCACTCGCTCTGGAGACCAGGCTGGCCTCGAACTCACAGAGATCCGCCTGCCTCTGCCTCCCGAGTACTGGGATTAAAGGCATGCGCCAACAACGCCCAGCAAATAAAAACATTTTTAAAAAAAACATTGGTGTTTTGGAGTTTGAAACACATACATGCACACACATAGGTTCATGCACCTTTTAAATTGATCACTTAGATGTCTGTCTTTAAGCTCTAGGAAGGTATTGAGAATTTTTAAGTTGGCCTAAGGTTCACATAAAACTACTACAAAATAAATATGCCAAAGCACTTCAAGAAGAGCTAATTCCATATCATCACAGCAATAATTAATTCCCTGAAGAGACTCTCCCAGCACAAGTTGTGGCATGATCATTTACTCTCCCAGTCACCAGAGGATGGAGGGAATCTTCCCTCAGGCCTCCTGTGTTGTGTTCAGGAGGCTGTGTTTACTTCAGGGAGGAAGGGGTCATAAGTCTCCCAGTAAAATCCAGAAAGTTCCTTAGGCTCACAGCCATGATGCTGTATCACTGGGGCTGTAGCTCTGGAGTGAAGTTGAACAAATCAGTTTCTGTGGGTCCTGTTTCCTTCCTACATAAAGCAAAGCAACAGGATCCCTTTCAGACTGAAAATTTGATGACAGAAATAAATGACTTAAAAATGTCACTATTTTGCTGCCTTTATTCTTTCTTGCTTTTTGTTTGTTGTTGGGTTTTCTCATATCAAGCTATTTGTGCTATGATGAGAGGTGTGGCTACTTTGTGGTATTTTCCCGAAGTGTAATCTACCTTCTCATTTCATCTGCTGCCAGGAGAGGGTCTCACAGATTCTTCTCAGTACAATAAAGAGAAATAGGAAGATCCTATGGTTTGAAGGACTGTTTCTGGGTAGTTTCAATGATTGTAGAACTTTGCAATCCATTTGGCAAAGGTGGTGGTGACAAAATGAATTTGGCAAAGTAGATATGATGGTTGATGAAATGGCTGGGTTAGGAAAAAATGCTGTCGGCTAAACATCCTAAAATAAGATGGAGAGTTCAAAATGGAGCACTTTCATCTCCTGTTGAGATGACTCAGAAAAACTCAAATTTTTACAGAAGTGGTTTGTTATTCGAAAGAGGAAGGGAGTGTCTACAGCAATGATTCTTGCCAGCATTGAGCTGAGTGAGGAACAGCCAGGCCGATATTTTGACTGTAACTCTGTGGTGAGACATCTCTGAACTTAGTATATGCAGGCAAGTATTTTGAGGCCAGTCACTGAAATTAAAATTAGCCACTAAATATCAGAAAATAATCTAAATCTATACCCAGTACATGCCCGAATCAGTTTATGTATGACTGAAGTCATGAGGCTACAAAGTTATTTTTATCAAGTCAGCCCTATCCTGTTTCTACCCTCAAAATATCTACACAAGGACCAGGATAATGTTTAAATAAACCAAGTTTTAATCTGAGTATCAGTGTCCTAAAATAATTGTAAAAAATTCTTTTGCTGGTGGTGGTCATCATATTTCAAAGACACTTTAAAACCAAGTTGTCATCTCTTGGTGAATACAGCATGTGTATACACACAGTTTTGGGTGTTTGCTTGTTCGGCTAGCTTGCATTTTGCTTGTTTTGCTACCAATTGTAACACTTTAAAGACTGTTTGTGGCACATAAGGGACCTTTAACCACCTGGGATGGGAAGAATAGAAGGGACTGGCAGCTGAATGATCTGGAAGTCTCTGAAGGGGGTGGGGAGAGTTAATAACATTACATTACTAAATCTTTGCAAGCTGGAAGCATTTCAAAGAAATAATTGCTGGGCTATTTCTGCAGATGTTGAATCCTCAATAATGGTCTCACCTCAAACCAAAACAATAATGAAAAGAGAAAAAAGACTTGAAGTTGGTGTTTGGAATGTTTTCTGGGAATTCAGAGTTGGCCAAACAAGAAAATTCTACTAGATCTAAAATGCCATTGAAATAATTAATATTGCAATAAAGTCATACAAATGAGCACCTAAATTATGCTTTTTTTATTTTTTAAAGCTTTTACTCAGTGCACATGTAGGACATAAAGTAAGTCAAATTGAAGACTTCATAATTCATTAGTAGTTAAAGAGTATTTGTCTTTCTCTATAGTGACATTTGAGGTATAACTATCTCACAGTAAAGTTGAAACTTGTTTACCAGGTTAGGCAGAGAAAGGAAGCAACAGCTCTCATCCCCCAAGCATCTTTTTATTGACCTGTTCTTTTCTTGTGCAACGGTTTATTTAGATCATACACACACATTTTATAAATGGCTATGTGTCATTTCTTTGGAGACCAAATAAGCCCAAATTATTGATTTGAGGGTATTATTGAAGACATTTTTAAAAGAAGAAGAAAATGTCTCTTGAGACAATGTACCCAAGAGCTAGGGATGTGGCATCCCCAGGGCCCTAGATTCAGTCTTCAGCACTGGGGTCTGGGAGGAGCAAGTTTTGTCAGATACACTGATGCATGCCTATAATCCCAACACTCAGGAAATAGACACAGTAGACACAGATTACAAGTTACAAGCTAATCTGGCCTAACCAGTTAAGAGGGCAGCCTGAAATACACAGTAAGACTCTAATAATCAGCAAAAAAACAGTAAGGTGTCTTTTTTAGTTATTATGAAGCAATTTGTTTTCTGTTTTTTAAAAACTGGTTACATTTTAATTTAAAAAGAAAATCTAGCCCGATATGGTGGTTTGAATGAAAACTGTTCCAAATTCATATATTCAAATGTCTGGTTCTCAGTTAGTGAACTGTTTAGGAAGAATTAGTGGGTGTGGCCTTGTTGGAGGAGGTGTGACATGGCTTGTGGGCTTTGAGGTTTCAAAAGCCAATGCCAGACCCAGTCTCCCTCCATCTCGGCCTTCATCTTGCTGATAAGAAAGATGTAAGCTCCTTGCTACTGCACCAGCACCAGGCCTATCTGCCTGCTGCCATACTCCCTGTCATGATAATCATGGACTCACCCTCTGAAACTGTAAGCAAGCCCCCAACTAAATGTTAAACACAGTCTTGGTCATGACATCTCCTCACAGCAATAGAATAGTAACTAAGATACCAAGCATGCTGGTGCATACCTGTAACCCTAGCACTCAGAGAGCCAGGACAGGAAGATGGATGTAAGTTCAAGACTGTTCTGAGACAGCCAGAACTACCTAGTAAGACGCTTTCTCCAAAAGACAAAACATAAATAAAAGTAGAATTAAATTATCCCCTGGGAGATGTGATTGTAAATAATCTCTCTCTCTCTCTCTCTCTCTCTCTCTCTCTCTCTTTCTCTCTCTCTCTTTCTCTCATTTGGTTTTTAGAGAGTGGGTTTCTCTGTGTAGCCTTGGCTGTCCTTGAACTCACAGAGATCTGCTTGCCTTTGCCTCCCAAGTGCTGGGATTAAAGGCATTTGCTGCCACCACTTGGCCCTTTTTCTCTTCTTGCAGTGCTAGGAGTTGAATCCTGGACTTCCTACATGTTAAGCAAGTATTCTACCACTGAGCTACACACTCTGCCCAATTACACTGTTTACAATCAGGACTTTTCTGTTAAAAACCTCAACTGTAAGAGTAAACCTTTCATAGTTATAAAAAAAATGGTGGTTAACTTTCTGGTTTTAATCCTTTAATACAGAGAACTCTGTCACATCTGTCTAATACTATAAGCAGCTTTGTTGGTGTCCCACACCTGCCCATTTCAATATAAGTTAATATGCCTGTCTCCATTCAGATAAATGAAACACATTCTTACGAAGTGTAATCATTTTATTATTTGGACATTCCTCAGTTTGGTCTAAGGACACAGCATCTGGCCAACTCATAAAAGTAGCTGAAGTCATAAGAGAGTTTTTGTGGTCATAGGCGTTTGCTGCCATCACCTGTAGTATCCACTCACTAAAAGTACTGGAAGCCCAAGTTGGACAACTCAGACTCAGGAGGACATGGGCACCTTGTGTGTGTTTTTTAAAGGCAGGAAATAGCAGCCAAAGTGTTAGGAGGCAGAGAATTCTTCAGAAGAGGCGTTCTGGGGCCCGGATCCCCCTTGAAGACACTGAGACAGCCCTGAGTGCCACCAACTAGCCTCAACTGGAAAAATGCTGTGACAGGACTGCACTGAGCTGGAGATGGTTGGTGTCACAAGGGTACCACCTGAAGGGTAGGCAGAGGACCGAGGGGAGGAGCCACATACTCCTCCTCTCGGAGCAGCCTCAGCAGGATGTTTTTCTTATTCTTGGGCCAGCTGTAAACATGAGTGTTCTGAAGCCAGGTGGGCACATGCTCCTGTGGGAGAAAGGACAGGAGCAAAGGTCACAGGAGAGAAGCCTGGATTGCAGGTCCAGGGCATAGTTCCCAACAGTTCTGGCTTGCCCTTCACAGGCATTCCCACCGGGCTGTCTTGGAAACTGCTGTTTTGCTTTTGGAGGGTTTAACACGAGGAGCACTTTTGGCTTTGGGTGCAAGCTGTGTATCTCATTATGGAAACCACATGTGCACAGTTTTTTCTGTCAGTCACCCAGGCTACCTGCCCTTTGCATGTCAGCGTGCTTTTCACCACCTTCACATGAAAGGGGTAGGACAGAGGTCATACCGAATGATGTGAATTCCCCTGTGGCTTTGGGGGAAGGATGCCAAGGTTGTGGGCTTAATATAATTCATGGTTCAAGCACTCTAGCCCTAGGTCTGGTCTGAAGTGGAAAGAGCAGAACAGATCTCAGAACTGTGAGGCTGGGGTTCCACAGGCCAGTGTTGGTCACCCTTAGGAGCATCCTCAGGACTGCTCTTGTGGAACACATATCCTGCTGGGGAGAGGCAATGAAGCTCAGCACCAACACGTTAAGGACATGGGGAATGCTGGAGTAGAAGTGAAAATTTGCAGCATTTAAGAGGGTGCTTAGGAGAAGTCACACAGTGGTGGAAATTGCTAAGCATGTTCAAAAGCAACAAGATCACAGTGGCTAGAACAGAACAAGTGACAGTGAGTAGGTGAGGAGAGTCAGAATTCAAGGGACTGTATCAGAGGAGGCCTGGAGACTACTGTAAGGCCTTTGGTTTCATTTTGAGACAAGCTGCTTTGGGGATTATAGCACAAGTTCAGAACCAGCACACATGTTGAGTGCAGAAGGTACAGTAACTGACTTCAGTGAAAATCCCACACGGAGGCAAAAATTAGCATAAACTATTTTCTAGGTGATAGTATGCCAAGTAGCTACCATGTTCCAACCTCTGGCAATAAAGAGACTGTCAAGTGGAATTTAAAAACAATAAACAATAGTAACCCCAACTAGGAGTGTGTGTGTGTGTGTGTGTGTGTATGAGCCAGTGATTCTAAGCAATTACTACCAGTGCTCCCAACATATACCATTGATTCAAAGTACTATAATTAAGTGCTCTCAGGAAAGGGACAATGCATTACACAGGCATGAGGGGAAGCAGAACCTCACATGCTAGCAAGGATACAAGGATAGGCAAGAGTTCACTAGGCCAACAAGTTGGGAAAGAGCACTATAAGGAGAGGGAACAGAAGGTCAAAGACACCTAGATAGAAAGAACATGAGTGAGGTTTGATGACATGGCCCATTTTGAACAAAGCAGAGGCACCAGGTGAGAAGAAAGGAAAATGAGTAAGTGGACACAGTCCTATTCCAAAGAGCCTCATGGGTCATGCTGAGGAAGATGGCTGATGTCTTGAAGTCATTGGGAAACATCACAGGCTTTTGAAACTAGAGGGATATAGACTGGAGCTCTGGCAAAGTGGAAGGTGGCTAATATAGGGTCCCAGAGGAGATGGGGAGACCCATAAAGAGATTTGCCAGTCAATGACTGCATTTAGTCTCTGGACAAGTTAGGGCCAGGGAGGATGAAGGGTCTTTCATTTGCATTCACATAGATTGGGCTCTCCCTACTGAGGGGCAGAGGTTTCAATGCAGTTCTGACATCTAAGAATTCTCCAGAATGGGGCCGCATCTAAGCTGAGAGTGCTCTAGTTTGAGTCTAGAACTACTTAGCTGCTGTCTTCCCTTTGCCAGGACTGGAAGATGTTCTCTAGTGACTTGACTGACATTCTCTAAAGGTGTCAGTGTACCCTTTGGAATATGATCAAAACCTTCATGTGAATCCTAGTAAGGTTCACATAGAGAACTGTGGATTCAGTGCCTGTACTCTACGGATTATGAGAACTCAACTGTGTGCAACAGAGTGTTTATGTGGAGCAGAAAGCAAAGTCTTCTCATGCTGGCTCTGAGATGTGAGAGGTAAGAAGCATCGGTGATACATGCCCTCTCATTCTTGGTCGTTTGCATACTTGATCCCCAGTTGCTGATGCAGTTTGGAGGTGTGGCCTGACTAGAAGTGTGTCACTTGAAGCTGGGCTTTTGAGGTTTCAGAAGCCACACTCTTTCTGCTTCCTGTTTGTCACTGGGGATGTGAGCCTTCAGCGCTCAGCTTCCAACTCTAGATGCCATGTTTGCTTGTTGTCACACTAACCTGCCATGATGGTGATGGATCTCATCCCTATGGAACCACAAGCCCCAAACCAACCCTTCTCTAAGTTGCCTTGCTCATGGTGTTTTATCACAGCAATAGAAAAGTGAGTAAGTAAGCATAACTATCCTTTGTGTACACAGACTAAACAATTAGGACAGCCATGATCCTACCAGGTAACATTTGTAGACCTTTCCTGTTCCTACAGTGGGCCCAGGGTACAACTTGTTCATCTTTCTGGGAACACTGTTATCTCTGAGGGCTGTCAAAGAGTTGACAAGATTTTGAACTTAAAATCCCAGATTTGAAAACAAAGGTAGAATTATTTGAGGATCTTGTTGTTTGTTTACCTTCTTGGCATTTGGGAAGAGCACAGGGATGAATCTAAAATTCATGCTTCCTTGATTTATGAACTCGATCTGCATCTAAAACAAAACAAATATGAAGAGTAAGTAATCTAGGAAGATATGAAGTTGATATGCCAACATGGCAACTTTATTTGAGTGCCATATTACTTACAATTTTAAGTGCTCCATATTACATACTATGCCACTTTTTCTTCATTGTCAACTTGAATACATCTGGAGTCAACTGAAATCAAAACTGACTGAGCACACCTGAAGGATATTTGCTTAATTAACTCTTTTGAAGCGGAAGATCCACTTCTAATCTGGATCTTTGAGGTGGGAAGACACACCTTTAATCTTTTGAAGCAGAGACCCACCTCTAATCTGGGCCATGCCTTCTGCTGGAAGCTATATAAATGGAAGAAGGAAGCACCTCTCTTTGCCTGTTTGCTTTCCCTCTCTGTAATTCATCCATTCTTTCACTGGATTAGAGCCCACTTCTTCCAGATTCCACTGAGACATCCGGCTTCCTGGACTGAGTAACTACTGGATTATTGAACCTTCCATTGGTAGACAGCCATTATTGGACTAGCTGGACCAGAGCCTTTAAGTCATTCTAATAAATACCCGCCTCACTTTCATCTCTTATATTCTGTAAGTTCTCTCTGTCTAGAGAACTCTGAGTAATACAACCACTTATTGAAGGCCTGTTAAAAATCACATTCTAGGGACCAGAAAACTGGCTTAGCAGGTGGAGGTGCTTATTTGACAACCTAAGCTCTATCCCTGGAGCCCACGTGGTGGAAGGAGAGAACTGATTCCTGCAAGTTCTCTTCTGATCTCTACTTTGTTTAGTGACAAATGCATTGTGCATTTGTATACGTGTGTACGTACATACATACACACAGAATAAATAAATGAAAATTTTGTTGTACTCTGGCCAGGATCCTGAGTTTCTTTGTTGATTTTTTTTTTTTTTTTTTGAGTCAGGCTCTCACATGTAGTCTAGACTAGCCTGAAACTCACTGTATACCTCAGGTTGGCTTTGAACTCACAGTGGCCTTCCTTTGTTAGCCTCCTGAGTGCTGACTTTGGGTTTTAAGGATTAGGAGTGTGCAGGGGCTGGATTATCTCTGTTTATGAGAGCGGACTTTGTCTCTATTCCAATTCTGTAGACAATACTTTTATAATATTAGCTTTCAATTGCCAAATATGAGAGTATTTATAAATTTATAATACAGAAATAGGTAAAGTGCTAAAAATCCTAAAACCTAGGATTTTTTTTTTTTTTTTTTTTTGAGAGCCTGTTTAGCATAGTACCTCTGATACAATTCGGATAATCCTCCTAGAGCTAGTGAGCTAGTGAGCAGGCAGGAAGGAAAATTGCCAACCAGAGGACAGCCTGCAGAGTGAACAATTTCTGTGGAAGGTCAGGATGGGGCTGTCTGTTCTGCATCGGGGAGTGTGGAGGACATTGAGGAGGGATCACTGGGCATGAAGAAGATTCTGGTCAGGTAAAGGAAATGGGGAGAAGGCAAGGGCAGAGCACATGAGTGCCTGGAGATAAGGAGGTGTGTTAGTATGGCTGGAATCCATACTAGCAATCCACTTCTGGAGCACAGATGGGCTTGGCAGAGGGCACTAGGAGATCAGCCATGAAGAGCCCACTCTGTCAGGCCTGAGGTTCCCTCACCAGATCAATCAGGTTTCACACACTGGTCATCTAAGAGGATTTAGCTACAAGAACTCTATGAAAATCAGAACTTTCAATATCAGGGGAGTTAAAGTTGTTTAAATCCAAGACTGGCATGGAGTTTCCAGCCATCTGATGACAAAGAGAACAAGGAATTATGTATCCTGAACAATTTTATCTTCCAATTGATTTTTATAAGTGCGAAGCTTTTGTTATGTATGAGAATAAAAACAAGAAGAAAACAAATATGGAAAAGTAAACAACCCTCTCCTCAACACTCACCTCACAGATACACACAACACAGATCTACCACAGGGGGTTTTCTCAGAGCCATGTCCCTTCAAAACACAGAAGACAACACAGAAAGCAGATACTACATTGACCAGAGTACTGTGCAATTCAAGTATTAACCATGCTATCACAAAGTAAGCACCTGCAGGGTAGGGTGTGGGATCTGTTAAGTTAAAGGTAGAGCTGGGTTTCATTTCCAACTTCAAGGGCACTGTGCACTATTTGGTTGGTCCACTAGGCTCTCCAGTCCATCAAAGACTAGCCTTCAACAATGTGTTTTTATTTTATCTCTTACTTTCAGATACAGTCATTTGATCTGTGATGTAATTACTCTTTCGTGTCTGAAGGAGGCCAGGAAGTCAGCCCAAGGATAGGGAGATCCTCTTATATCTGATGGAACATCCGGTCCCTCTTGAGATGAGGAAGACCCTAAGATATTAGGGCAACCACATGGTTATAGCTGACACAGTCATCCATGCTCAGGTTGAACTGTGTGTATTATTGGCTGCCCTTGCCATACACCAGCACAACTAAGCAGGTTTCCCCAGGAGATCTGGAGTCCTTCCCAAGTACCAGCTGCTGGCTCCTGGATCTAGCAGGTTCTTAGAGATGTAGACAGAATGTCAGTGTTCTGGGAATGTGCAGACATGATACAGACAGATAAGGGACAGCAGCATCCAGAACCAGTCATGACCTTTTCAGATGAATTTGTTTCTAGGAGTGCTATGTTGCAGAATCCTGACCACAAGCTGGCACCAGGTAAGACTGGACAGGAAGCAGACTTAGCTCCAGACCCTTGGCCTGACTCTTGAATCTTACCACCTTGCCTTAGCTTCTGCTTTAGGTTGTGAACTCAACAAGTGATCACATTTGGTAGAATAGGTGATAGAGCTCTTAGCAACCCACATGATGGGGAGGCTGCTTCTACACACACCCTGCCCTCTTGCAATGCTCTAGACGACAAGGTGGATGGCATTTAACTTTGTTTCCTCTGAGGTAAAGGTGTCCAGAGACTGCTGGCTGCTCCCTGCCCTGTGCTGCTTAGTCCTTGTATCTGGGCCACTTCCAGTGATCCATTACACCATGTCCTCTCGAAGGGTAAGAACTGAAGTTGGACTCATGAGTTCAAGTCCAGTGATCTCCCTACTCTTTCTCATATATCAGGATCCTTGATAAATAAACAAGCCAGAGAAACAGGCTCTAGGTTGGGGGGCTTAATAAGGCCAGTGCCACCCTTAGACATATAGACACCTACTAGAGATTCCACAGGACAGTGTGAAGGTCACAGATCTAGTCCAGCTGACCAAGTTTGATTCCTTCTAAATTTTCACCATGGTTTAAGTTTAACCAGGCCCCACAGTACAGGTTTGGCAGTAGAAGGTTTCCCACCTATCACAAACTAAGAACAATCTCTTTGGTTAAGTCTTTTCTATGTGCCATATACTTCAAACATTACTTCATTTATCTTCATAGAATTATACATATTAGTTATCCATTTAATTAATAGGGTTGTAGGAGGGCAAGATCCAAGTACTTGGACTATGGCCATATAGCCTGTACTTAGGAAACTAATGGGACACAGGTTTTTCTGGTATGACAGAAGTGTCCTTCCCACTTTCCAACTTTCTTCTCTGAAAAAGCAAGGGTCAGAATGGAACACTACAGTAACACTACTCACCTCACCACTCACTCTTCTCCTACCATTTCACATTTGTTGGGAAACAGCCAAGCGAATAAAGCTCTACTTTCTAGAAGCTTGATTGATATCTCTTAGTTACTGGCACGACCGGTTGAGTACTAGGCAGAGGAGTTGTGTTTCTCCATGGATCTCAAAGTACACAGAGCCATAACCAATAACATCTCCTGACATGGGAGGTTAGAGAATCTTCCCCTTATGTCCTGCAACTGTCAGTGAAAAGCATCCTCCCTGGAGAAGATGCCTGTTCCGGAGGAGCAGCCAGGCACTGTGGTCCCCTCACCACTCACCATTCGATGAATGTACTTAGTATGTAAGCCATGCTCATCGTCGTCCAGCTGCGACTCAGCGCCTTCCACATCCTGTTTGTATTTGGGGCTGATTGCTACAATTATCATCACTGTCTTCTGTTAATGAGAAGGAGAAAAGCTTGTTTATGGAAGTGGGAAGTGTGGTTCATTTGCTGAAGACCAGCTGGAAAGTGGCCAGCAAGACCATAAGCGGTCCCTGACCTGATGACGGTACAGAGCCAGTCCCTCTCTCTATGAAAACAAAAGGCACCAGCCCACACACAGGGATGCTGCCCTTTTCACACCTTCCTGGTGCCTCTGTGCCCAGCACCCTATAAACACCCAGAACAAAGGCTCTGAGAGGAATTCTCCCACCTTCCACAACCTTCACTAATAAATGTCTAGTGAAAGTCCAAGTCACCGAATCCATGTGGAGCCAGAAAGACACTGCCATGACACAGAAAAGTGCCCTTGCTCCCTGCAGCCTGATGTGAACTGGCAGTCACTCTGCTCCTCCACTGCCCTGCGTTTCCTGTGCACATTAGCACAGTCAGTAGGAGCAGACCCTTCAGCACAAAGCAAACACCAGGCTGCAGACAAAAGGAAAGCAGAATCCCAACCTGCTGAGCCTTCTACCCCCCACCCACTCCTGCCCAAAGAAGCACCCAGACGTGGACATGCTGGCAGCAATCAATTTCTAGCTTGTTAAAGCACAAGGTGTCCCAGTGGCTAGTATAGATTCTGTCTGTAGAAAACGAATCACAGGGCTGCAAGTGGGTGGCCTGGGGTGGCATGCTGCATAGCTTGTAAGGCTGCCCAGAAACCTCTTTAGCCCAGTCCTACAAAACACTTGGAAAGGCCCCAAATTCAACTGGAATTGCGCCCCCCCTTCATTTCCTCCTTTCCTATTCTGGTTTAGAAATTGTTTGCCCTGATTGTTATCAACCACCTGTGTCTGGTTTGACCGTTATTTCCTGTCTCTGTGTGTCCAGGAGGGTGACCCCATCCTTCCTTTCCAAGTCTTTGCATAGCTTCCAACAAGAGAGGCTTTGTCAGACTTCCTCAGGCTCAGACCTAGGGAGAGTATCAGGCTTTCTTCTGTGAAATAGCTTCACTGCCTAATTGTTTTTCTCAGCAGCACACATCCTCAGATTTAGGAATATACTTACATCTCGAAGGTAGCGCTCCATCCATTTAATGATATCAATACCCCGGATCCTGTCCTCAAATATGTCAATCTACAAGAAAAGGATGAGAGGAAGGGTTCTTTTTTGTTTGATTGGTTTTTTGTTTGTTTGTTTTCCCTCCATTTTTTATTTAAATTAGAAACAAGATTGTTTTACAAGTCAATGCCAGTTCTCTCCTCCTCCCCTCCTCCCCTGCTCCCCACTAACACCCTACCTATCCCATACCATTTCTGCTCCCCAGGGAAGGTGAGGTCTCCCTGGTTGGGGGTGGGGGTCGGGGGGAGGTCTTCAGAGTCTATCATATCCTTTGGCATAGGGCCTAGGCGCTCCCCCATGTGTCTAGGCTGAGGGAGTAACCCTCTATGTGAAATGGGCTCCCAAATTCCATTCCTATGCTAGGGATAAGTACTGATCTACTACAAGAGGAAGGGTTCTTAATGAGAGTTTTCTCTGAAACTCAAGAACATAAGAAGCTACGTACCTCTGCAATCCTAAAACTAATGCTCTGTATAAGGAGGGATACATGAGTCCAAACAATGAAACACGAGTTTCATGAAATATGTATGCCTTATTTCAATATCCGTGGACATTTAAGTTTCTAATATCCATAATGAAGATATAGTGGTTCATATCCAAGTGTATCTGCAGCTATACAGTAATTATATGTTCAAAACTCTGAAGGACACAGTGTATCACTAAACTGGATATAAGCCAGCAAGACAGAAATAGTACATCTCTGCATCGTAATTTGGAAATCTGAAAGGCAGATTCTGAGATTTCAGTGGATCTGTAGTGTGCAAATGCTGAGACACAACTGTGGTGTCTGACACGTGTTTGCCAGGTCATGATTACAGGATTATGTCCAGCTTCAATTACACATTTCAAAAGGATTGTATGAAACTTAGGCAAAAATCCAAAGAACCCTCACAAAACAATCACTGAGCTGGTAGGGAGGGGTTGGGATGAAAGTCAAGGAGAACTCTGGGGCTTTGATAAGACTCAGATTGTTATTATTAGGTAATACTCCTTTAGGTATTAGAAGAGAAGAAAAATCAAATCATTTGTCTTATGGAGGCCCAAGTCTCTCTCTCTCCCTCCTATCTATCATTTATCTCTGTTTCCGTCTCTGTCTGTCTGTCTGTCTGTCTGTTTGTCTGTCTGTCTGTCTGTCTCTCTCTCTCTCTCTCTCTCTCTCTCTCTCTCTCTCTCTTGTGTGTGTGTGTGTGTGTGTGTGTGTGTGTGTGTGTTACATATACAAGGCACTCCTGATTGGAAGAGGGAATATATAATATACTAGAGTAGGGACATCAGAAGAAGGCCATTGGGGAAGGGTTATTTGATTAGCCTCATTGCTCCCATAGTTATTTTCCTAGTGTTAAACTGCTGTTTAGAACTGACCAAAGCAACTCTCGACTATTCATCAAGCATCCCGAGCCAGCTTCTGTCTTTTCCCCACACACTCTGTCTACCTCACTCCCCACATGAGTTCCCTTGTGTCCTTGCAGCACAGCACATGCCCCTCTGTTCTGCAGGTCAGGATGACTTCCCCTTCACATCACCTAACTCTGACCCACTTTGGCCACTAGTAGCAAACACATTATACCATTCTTTCTTTTACTCATGTCTCATTTATGACCTCCTCATCTTCCTAGCCTGCTTTTGAGCTCTATATGTGTACTTCACTGTCATGCCTATAGAGTACATAATATAAACTTGGAGTATATTCTTTTACTGATAGAACATTTAAGAAATAGAATAGCTTTCCTTTGGGTTGGCCTTTTTTTTTTTTTTTTTTTTTTTTTAAGACAAGGTCTCACTGTTGCCCTGGCTGGCCTGGAACTTGCTATGTAGACCAGGCCTTGAACTCACAGAGATCCACCTGCCTCTGCCTCAGGAGTGCTAGAACTAACTCGGGAGTGCATGCACCACCAAGCTCAGCTTGATTTGTGTGTTAATGTCCACCATGTGGTCATGTGCCTGCTATTCCGGTACTCAGGAAGCTGATGCAGGAGTTTTGAGTTTATGACTAATCGGGTCTACACTGAAAAATGTCTCAAAAAGTGAAAACAAAAACCAAGATAATAATGTATGTTCTAGCTAAAGCCTGCACCAATCTGTGACGGTGCCAGTAATCCATTTCCATTTCAGACTGAGGATGGTCAGCTTGGTTTCTGCTCTTGGCTCTTTGTGGTTATGAGGATTTAATGACAACACAGAAAAGACATGTATCATAATCCCAGACATGATTATATTTGGGGGTGGGGTGGGGTTTCAAGACAGGGTTTCTCTGTAGCTTTGGAGCCTGTCCTGGAACTCGCTTTGGAGACCAGGCTGGCCTCAAACTCACTGAGATCCGCCTGCTTCTGCCTCCCGAGTGCTGGGATTAAAGGTGTGCACCTAGCTTGCCAGACATGATGTTAACACACCATACATGGTCATTACTTTCTGGCATAGAAGTTGTTCCCTGCTCCAGAGACACATTCTGGGCAGTGTCTACCTCTCTAGATTTCCAACAGAGTCTGCTGCACTTGTCATGACAAGTTTTCCACACACAGCTGTTGTCATGAGCTAACTGTGTCCCTAAAATGCATATATTAGCTGGAGGTGGTGGCTTACACTTACAATCTCACTACTCTGGAGGCTGACATAGGGGGATTGTGGGATTTATAGGGGGATTTATATTGGGCTATAAAGCAAAATTCTGTCTCAAAACATAAAATTTTTTTTTAAAACTTTCCCATTACTTCATAATGTAACTGGATTTGGAGATAGGGCCTCTCAGAAGATAATTCAGGTAAAATGAGGTGCTGGGTGAGCCCCACTCCCATAGGATTCATGTTCATGGAAGGAGGGAAAATTAGCATGCAGGTCTGTGCACACACGGGGAGGGACCATGTGAGATCAAAGAGGATGGCCATCTCAAGCCTAGAGAGAGGATCCCAGGTGAAACTAACCTTGTTTCAACCTTGTTCTTGGCCTTCCAGCCTCCAGACTGTTGAAAATGAGCTCTGTCTAAGCCACCCTATCAAGAGTATGTTATGGCTGACTTACCCAGCTATCCTCTTCAGGTTCCAGGCTCCTTTAGTGTCTCTTTGTACTATATTCTGCTAGTGGCAGGGCATGACACTATTCCCTAAGATTTCCTAAAACCTACCTAAACCTTTATGCTGTTTGTTTTTTAAATTCAACTCTCCTAAAATTATTCATTATTTCATTTCACTGAGAAGATACCAATATATTGGGTGTAACCCACAGCTGTTCACAAACATAGGCTTTTCTAGGATAAGGGTCAAGGGCACATTTAAATTCCCCCTGAACTGTCCCTGATTAGGTTTCTCGTTTTCGTTGTTGTTTTTGTTTTTGTTAAAAGCCCTTGCTATTCTCCAGGGGCAGTAAGAATCTATATGTTTGTTTATATTTGGAAAAGAAAAAGGGAAGATCTTGTATGTTGTCTCATGTCTCAGAATTTGATTTTTATGTCACAGTTGCCCCAGCGCTGTCTTACTCTAGAAATGAGAAAGTGAAATGTTAGTCTATAGAGTTGTGAAGTTGAATTACATAAATTGTAGGCATCTTTTAAAAAAAATTATGTAATTCTATTTTTAGGAAGTATTATAGGAAACACATTAAAATAAAAACTACTAAACAATGCTAAGCCACCTCTTTATTCTTTAATTTGTAAGTGTTCCTCTCTAGCCTCCAACATCCATATTTCACCTATTTTTCACTCCACTCTGGAATTCACTGCTGCTGAATGCCTAGGAGAGGTTTCTGGGAAGAAAATAATCTTAATGTTTGAGGAAAGTCAGTCCATAGAGTGGCAACCTGTGGTATTTTGTTTATCCTAAGGAAGAATGTACATGTCTTTAACTTGTGTTGTTTCAGCGGTTGGCAGGGAGACAGAAAGACAATGTGCTTGAGAATTTTGGGTCCAAGATCACAATGGACCTACAGGGATGATGTAGGGCCATCTCCCCTAGATGGAAACTAGGCTGCGTCTTCCCTGTCCAGAATCTTCTCTCCGGAAACAAGGTATAGAAGGGCAGCTGTGTGCAGTGGGGGTTCAGGGTTCTACTTCAAACCTTATAATCCAGTACAGAGCAAAGAGTCTGGTTTGGAAAACAACAACAAAAAACCACCTTGGTGAGCTTGCATACCACAGGAGGTGGGTATGGCTGGTGAGAAAGGGCAAAGGCAGAGAGTGCAGCAAAAGCCAGGCCTTTCCTTCAGGACCAACAGTGGGAATTGGCACTACTATGGACATTTGGAGGAAAAATGTTGGAGACTTTGGGTAATTTAAAGTGTGGTGGAATACTTGTCTAGCATGAGTGAGGCCCTGGCCTTGACCAGCACCAAATAAATAGATAACCAGAAACAATTATCCAAACCCTTAAGCATTTAGCTCATCACCACATAAATTAATAAAACATCAACTTCATACTTTACCACCACCACCACCACCACCATCACTGTGTTCAACTGAATGGTTCAGTTTTCTCTTTGAATAAAATACTTACTGCAGTTTGGAAGCCATTCACCAACAAAAAGTTCACAAATTTCACCACCTCCATGGCTGTGTCCATAGAATAAGTGATAAAGACTTTCCCTAAGAGAGAAATTCCAGAGTTGTTGAAACAAATCAAGTTATTCTGTTACACATAGCACTTCTAAGGAGTATGCATTGGCCTTTGTGTTGGAGGGTGGTCTGAGGGTTTTTGCCTACAGTGGTGTGATTGCTGGCCTCTGTGACAAGGGCTGGGACCTGTCCAAGAAAGTGCAAACAATCCAGAGTGAACAGAAGACAGAAGGGACAGAGGAGAGTAATGGCAGGCTGAGACCAGCCTCACAGGTCTCCTGGAATGCCACATGAGATGTTAAAAAGTCTACCACCCACAGCCTGCAAGTCCTTTGAGCTCAAGCCATTGCCTTGTTTCTTAGAGACACTTGGCCCTATGCCCAAGGAAAATATTCTCACAGCAGGCTAAGAAGCTAGGGCTTGCTAAGAGGCCACCAGCAGTGTCTGCTTTTGATCTCATGATGCTCTCTGCTGCACTGAACTCTTGTCTAACAAGACAAAGTAGGGGTGAGTGAGAAAGTGTTTCCGTGCCCTCCCCCAGTCGACTCTTTTGGAGAAAGGTCAGGAAGTAGGAGCAGACTGATGCCCAGATCAGAAATGTGAGTGCAAGTTCAGCAGTTTAAAGGGGAGACAATGCCTCAGGGCAGTCCAGCATTGCAAGCTTCCTCTTTCCTCCCCAAGCAGCACGGAACCACAGACAGAACTGTTCTGACAAGCTTACCCTACCCAGCCATAACCGCTGCTTTCTCAGACTAAAGTATTGGGGAAATTACTTGACTAGCAGCTTAATGTGGTAGACAGATAATCTGTACACATTGCCTTTTAGTCTGGAATGAACAGTTTGATCTCAAGAAACCCTGAGGCAGAGGATAAAGAAGAGAAATGCAGAAGAGTAGTCTGTATGCATTCATCTGTGCTTGACTCTTCCTAACAGAAACACACCTCTCAGATGGAGTGTGTGTGTGGTGGGCTATGATGGTGGTAGTAACCCAATGGCCAGGCACATGGGCAGCACTGGATCCTTTGTCACCTCCATACATACTGGTTGTAGGACCCCTTTCCTAGATTATAAGACAGGCAGAACATTGGGACTGTAAGTCATGTGAGACCATGTCTGTCCACTCAGTTATTTCCCAGATTGAAATGTGAAAGATTTTGAGGTGCTCAGAAACAAAACTTTTTGCCTGAAAACCATGGTGCTCAACGTCACAGAAATCCTTTGGAGTTGTAAGTGACTCGAGTAGAGCGGCAACAAAAGCAGTTAGCCAAGCAAAGGTTTGGTTCTGAGTGTCCCAGATCTGGAAAGAGTGAACTTTTCTAGCAGAATACTTCATATAAGTAGTGACTGATTTCTGAAACTAAGAATGCTAGCTGGCCTTACTCTCAGAACATTTTGGTAATATTTTACCATTTCTGGATCTAGCATAATGTGGCAAACGAACCATCACCTGACATTGAACAGGATATTTCTTGAAATAAATAAAAGTCTTAGTTTGCATTGGGATATGAGCAATATGGGATTTTAGATTTTTTTTTTCTTTTTCCAAACAAGACCATTCACTCCTACAGAAAATGACCTTGTTCTTGATAGATTTATGGTGAAACACTAGGTTTCTACCGTGTTCCACACAAGCATCATCCAATCCATCCACCCAGGGGCACATCACAGAAGAGCATCATTTAGAAAAGGAAAGAAGTATTGCAGGGGCGGGGCGGGGTGTTGTTTTCTTTGTGTTGAGGAAAATCCAGTGGTAAGCAGTTTGGGAGCACTACTTGTGAGGTTAGGATTACTAAAAACATTTTAAATTGGCTGGGTATTTTTAAAGCAAAAAAGGAAAAGGTAAACTTTGCTATGTAAAATATAACTGAGATTATAGGTAAGTGACTAAGCCAAACATAAAACCTGACAAGATGAAACCACATTGCAAACAACTTACGTAATTCCTCTGGCAAATTGCTAGTTTTTAGAGTTCCTCGGACTAGGGGGTTGCTAGGGGGTCTAGGCACAGCAGCTGGGGATGGAGCCTGGGGGCCCTGTGGTCTCAGCTCTGCAGGATGTTCCAGGGACCCTTCGGGAGCTCCAGCTCCACTAGACGGTGGGTGATAGAGCTGGTCCCTGCAAGGGAATAAGTTTACAGCAAATTTTTATTTTCATTACAAAGGCAAAGTTTGGAGACAGAGCAAGACGTCCAGACTGGGGGACCATACCAACACATGGCTCCTCCCCTCTGCCTCCAGTTCTCTGACACAGAAGTGAGAGAGGAGTCCCATGGAGTTTCCTCTATAAATGAGTCAGCTGGCTGCCACATGTGAGGACCTGTGCTAGGGTCAAAAGAGGGAAGCAGGATTTGATTTCTCCATTCAAGGTCTATCTAATTGGGAAAATAAGTTCCATGTACGGGTCAGACTAGGTCACCAGCAAAACAAAATAATATGATGGGTGACAGAAGGCTGATATTAAAGGCATTCAAAGTAAAAAGACACAACCTTTCACGATAGATAACATTTGCTTATGTTTCAAAAGTGTTTTTTTTTTTTTAAAGTCATGTAGGTTTAAAAGTATTTCTTTTAAACTCTGTAAGTGAAAAATCTGACTGGTGCCATGGCTTCTTCATTATGATTTTGCTTCCAGCATTCCTGTGGGCATTGTACTGAGGGGAAACAATGGCATGTATGCCTCTGAGCTTTAGAAACCAAAGAAATGAAGTCTTGTTTCTATTTGGTTCCTATGGCAGATAGTCACAGGTATGTCTCTTCTGCAAAAGCATCCAGTGGCCCTGGATGTCAAGAACAAAGTGGCACCTCTCTTTTACCACTGAAACTTCAGCAGGTAGAGTGGCCCTAACTTCTGCATCAGCTGCAATTGTGCTGGAGGCCTCTTAGTGGCTTCACTTGGAATGTTCTTTGAGCCTCCTCCGGCCTCCAATAAGCACACAGTTCCCTATATTAAATCCCCTCTGCCTAACATAGCTAAGTGGGCAGGTAAGATGGCTCAGCCAGAAAGGCACTTGCTGCCAAGGCACCATGGTGACCTGACTTGGATCTCTGAGACCTATGTGGTGGCAGGAGAGAAGCAACTGTGTCCTCGGTGTGCTATGGCATGCAAGTGTGCATACACACAGGAAAGTAAGTGAATGATTAAAAAGGGAAAACAGCTAGAATGGTTTCTCTTTTCTATACCTTCTAAATGGTAGGGAAATTAAAACTATATCTAGAATGTTTTTTTTTCTTTTGAAATATGGCAATATGTTAAAATCAGGGTAATGGGACCATGGGTGTCTTTTGTTTCATATCATAAAATGTTTAATGTTATGATTATAGGTCTGTATAGATGCCTAATTTTAATAGATTTTGCTTATGTTTTTACTCAAAAGTAATTTCAAAATTCTTAAAGTCTTATGTAATATGACTTAAATAAGACTTTTTCAAAAAAATCACAAATCTCAACTACATTTCTAAAATTAGAATGTTTAGGGAATTTATATCTTGTATGTTCATAAATATTGAGCAAATGAGGCCTCTAAAAATATACGTTCAGCTGAGATTCATTTCCTTATTATTTATATTAAATTTTTTTAAACACAAAGTTGCCTCTTTGTTATAAAAGATTACTCATTTGTTAAGGCCTTGATAATTACACTGGCTAGTTTTAGGTCAACTTGACACAAACTAGAGTTATCTGAAAGTAGGGGACCTCAATTGAGAAAATGCCTCCATAAGTTCTGACTATAGGCAAGCCTGTAAGGCATTTTCTTAATTGGTGATTGAAGGGGGAGGGCACCATTTTGGGTGGTGCCATCACTGGGCTGGTATTTCTGGGTTCTATCATAAAGCAGGCTCACAAGGAGTGAGCCAGTAAGCAGCACCCCTTCATGCCCTCTGTATCAGCTCCTACCTCCAGGCTCCTGCCCTGTTTGAGTTCCCTTCCTGACTTCCTTTGATGAAGAACAGTGACATCATAGCATAAGCCAAATAAACCCTTTCCTCCCCAAGTTGCTTTTGTCATGGTGTTTCCTCACAGAAATAGTAACCATAACTAAAACAATATGTTCAAAAACATTCACATATAAATAGTATCATGAGAGTATTATTGAAAGCAAACTTCTGGTATTAATGTTCTCCTTCCAATCAGTGGTAGGAGAATTGGCTGAACATTCTTCATCATCCTAAAATGATAACTCAAGGATACTGCAACAGGCTTAAATTGATGCTACAGAAACATTTGCTCTGCAATATGTTTTAACTTTCCTATTAATCTAAATGTTTTTCAAAATAAAAGTTTATTTTAGGACTGGGTATGGTGACTCATATCTGTAATCCCTGACAGAACATTGCTAGGAATTGGAGGACAATCTCTAGGCTTGTGAATTCCAGGCTAGCCTGCGCTAATGAGTGAGACTCAATAGTTCAGAAAACAATACAAAATTTAAAAATGTAAAAACCCTAAGTGAGCTCCAGGTTTCAGAATGGCCATTCTTGCAGATTACAAGATCACTGAGGTGCACAGAGCTGGGGCTGGGCAAGTATTTGTTAGAGTGGCTACAATAATCCAGCTGTGTTTTTATTTGTGAGTTTATTGAAAAATGAATTTTTTAACATCTTAAAAATTATGATTGCATCCCCTATTCAACACTAAATTTATTTGATAAAAATATGCATATGTTGTATGGTTTCTTGAAATTTTATATATATATTATTTTTTGTAGGAGTGTGTCTTGCTATGAAATCAAACTTTAAAGTCTCTTATTTAAACTGTGTATTTAAGAAAGTAAAGGGTCTATCTGGAAGAACTATACAGACTTGTGGACCTTGCAGTGAGGGTATCAGGCTTGGGCCTTGTTTGCCACTCTTAATAAAATTGGCCTTTTCCCTTAATAAAAATTTTGAGCTAATTGCCAATTTCTTTATCTCCAAAAAATCCACTTTAGTAGGATTTTCATATCTGATTCTGTTCTATAAAAACAGAATGCAGTTTTACTGTGCATACTATATGAAAGTTGTCCTTGTAAAGAACCAAACATTTCATTTACTTTCTTTCCAATTTTGTTCTAAAACAGGACACTCCATTTACTCCTGAATATTTTAGATATACAACTTAAGAGAAAAGGCAAACTGGAAGAAGAATTTAAAAATTAAAAACAGTAGCGAGAAAAAAAAAAAACCCTAAGGGATGACTGGAGTACACTGTGAGCCTGCACCTCGAGGGTGGGTTGACTGGGGCTTGGCCCTTAGTGTGGTAGCATATTGGAAAGAGCTGAGGAACCTATGAGGTGAGCTTGACTTCAGGGTATCTCATGGGACCTTGATCAGATCTGCTGAGAATTGTAATAACAGAACCAGTCCAAGGTTTGGCACAGTAGTACATGCTGTTTGGGAGGCTAACTAGGGAGGATAGCAAGTTTGAAACCAGCAAGGGCGACATATTGAGTATGAAGCCAGTTTGAACTACATTGTTAGAACCTACATTAAAAAAAATTAATTGCTGGGCAGTAGTGGCACACACCTTTAATCCCAGAACTCCAGAGGCAGAGGCAGGCAGATCTCTGTGAGTTCATGGCCAGCCTGGTCTCCAGAGCAATGATGGGGGATGTCCTTTTATATATGTGTTTCTCTTACTGGTTGATTAATAAAACACTGTTTGGCCAATAGAGGCAAGGAAGACTAGGAAAATTCTGAGAAAAGTAGGCAGAGAGAGAACCAGTGAAAAGATACCATGTAGCCGCCAAAGGAGAAACAGGTCTGGACATTTTCCAGTAAGCCAAGACCATGTGGAAATACATAGATTAATAGAAATGGGTTAATAATTAAGACAGAGCTAGCCAGTAAGAAGTCCTACCCATCAGCCAACAGTTTATAAATTAATATATGTCTCTGTGTGTTTATTTGGGGCTAAGGTGGCTATGGGACCAGGTAGGACAAGAAAAACTCCAGCAACAGAGTGAGTTCCAGGTCAGGCTCCATAGCTACACAGAGAAACCCTGACTCAAACAAAACAAAACAAAATTAATTAATTTTTTTTTTTAAAAAGGAAGCCTGGTACCCTCATTGATTTCTCTCTCATCATACCATGCCATCTTACCTCTACCTCTTACTCCTGCATTATGCCATCTGCCTTGAAGGTAACATAGCCAAGAGGGCCCCTTATCTTGGAACTTTGAGCTAATGAATATTTTTTTTGTTTATCAAGGACTCAGCTTCAAATACCTTGTTATAGTAATGGGAAATGGACCAAAGCAAGGGTTAGGCAAAGTTTGAAAAAACAGCATTATTTTCCAGGAATAATCATAGAAAGGGTCAGCTTGAGTGGATGGTTTTGTTGCAAAAGAAAATAACTAGAAACCAGATGTGATGGTGCTAAGAGAGCCTTGTCAACCACTTTCTATTGTGCTCTAACCTATAAAAAGTTGATACTGGGTATTTCACTGCGTGACTGCGCTGACTTAGGTGGCCTGCCTACAGAGACTTTCCACGAGACTTTGTTGCAATGCCAATCCTTTCATGTCAGGATGTGTGTGGATGGGTCTTGCCATACTCATACCTTGGGAGCCTTCGGAAAGAGAAGTCTCTCTGTGCAGGCCTCTCTCCTTGGTCCTGGGGGCTGGGGTGATTCAGGATGACTTTCTGTACAGGATGCAGGCCTCTCACTCTTGCCCCAGGAAGGGCCTGTCCAGGCAGGGCAGGCTGGATGACTTGCTGGTAGGCTGCTGGAGGGTAGCCATGAGCATCTGTGGGTGAACAAGGAAATAGCAGAGAAGGTTGACTCCAGCTCCTCCAAGCATAAGACCACACAAATTCACTGAACAGCTGTCTCTTGATAGCAACTGAGGTCCAAATATCAACCCACCTCCATGTATTTGTCATATTCTGTACTTCTAATTACTTCATAATATTCATGAAATCAATACATGTTTTTTCAATGTTAAAAACATCTGTGAAATCATGTTTGACATTCCAAATAGAAAACTCTTAAGAATTTTTCAAGTCCTGTTTTTATGAGATACTTAGGATAATCCTTCCCTGAAGAGCCTCTCTCACACTACTGTTCTTATCAAAAATCCTCACTATCTAAAAACCATGGCTAGGAGAAATTATCCTTGTGATAGACTTAAGATTACTGTGCTGGACTGGAGGTGGTACTGCATGCCTTTAATCCCAGACTGGGAGGCAGAGGGAAGCAGATCTTGTGTGAGTTCAAGGCCAGCCAGGTCTACTACTGAGATTCTGCCCCCCCCAAAAAAATTGCTATGCTTCCCAACACCACTAAGTGTACACACACACACACACACACACACACACACACACACACACACACACACCACACACTGCCCCCTCTTAGGAAGAATGAGTGACACCTTGGCTCATCCTCTGGGAAGGAGCCAGCATAACCCTTAACTTCACATTCTCTCCTGGTAAAGCCTTTGTGCATGTGGCCCCAAGACAATAGAAAAGATAATAAGGAATGGGAGGAGTCGGGAAACAGCCCAGTCCACACGTATTTGCAGTGTAAGTTTGAGGACCTGAGTTCAAGTTTCCAACACCCACATACATGTAGTTGGTCATGGGGCAGCGCATGCCCAGTGCTAGGGAGAGACAGATGAATCCTTGGCGCTCACTGACTACCCAGTCTGAGTTAGTGGGCTACTGGTTCAGTGGCAGGCCCTCTCTCCAAAGATAAGGTGGAGAGTAATTACCTCTAGCCTCTAGCCTTAGCCTCTACATGCATATGTATGTGCATCCACACACATATGAACATATACACAAACACATAAACATAAAAATATTAATTTTTTAAAAAAAGAGCAGGGATTATAGCAAAGCCAGTCTGGCAGGCCTGATGTGAATGTGTAACTGGGGAGAAAGTTGGTCCTAGGAAGCCCCAGAGAACAGAGTTCCAAGAGAAGGCCAGCTTAGCTGATCACATAAAAGAAGTAAAGAAAAACGCAGGGTAGGGAGAAATGGCTCAGCAGTTAAGAATACATTACTCTTCTTCTAGGGGACTTGAGTTTGGTTCCCAGCACCCATGCCAGGCAGCTAACAATGACCTGTAACTCCAGCTCCAGAGGATCCAGCACCCTCCTGTAGCCTTTAGTACACTTGTGGTACAGACTCACACAGACATATACTCATAAATAAAAATTTAAAAGAGAGATGCAGAAGGATGCCATGACCCAGTGTGGGTGAGAGAGGGGCTCTGAGGGCATTACACCGGCCTAGAGGGCTACAGTTGGGAAACCTGAGAGGAGCATATGGACTGGAGAGGATCAAGTATGAAGCTCCAAAAGAGAAGCCACGAGCCCCTCATAATCCAAGCTGTCACCTCTATTCAGGTCAGAAGTATGGTTAGCCAAGAAACATCATCAGTTAGGACAAAAGCAATTTTGTTTAAAAAATTACCATTGATTTTAAATCCTTGCCCAATTTATAGAAGTCATAGCTCTATTTGTCCACCAGGGTAATATATTTGAGAGAGACACAGACAAATAAAATAGCAAGGAAGCAAGAAAGTGACATAACTCTATTGCAGTTAGAGTTATATCACCTTACATGATCAGGTTACTGCTTTTGACCTCATTGCTCAGCTGAAATATCAGAGTAGGGAGGATGGCACTGTCCTGAGTTTGATATGCAGCCAGAAGCCTTGGACATTTTTTTAAGACATCATTGGGGAATGGCAAGCACAAACACCAGATGAGCAAACAAATAATATGTGTGTTTACTAGTGTATCTGTCTCCAGGTCCCCACTGTCTGGACTCAGAACCTTGGTTGAATGACCCCAGCAATTAACTCTGGCTAGTCTCTCATGTCTGGTCAAACTCCCTGGAGCCATGTCATTATTGCCTTGACCCTTATATCATCTGTATCCTTCCTACCATTCTTCCTCTTGAAAAAGTGACCATACACCTCCAGCATAGGCTGTCTGCTGACTTGGACACATGCCCCTTGTCCTATTGTTAAGCCCTGACCATTGCAAATAGATGGTTTGAGGAAAGAAGGAGACAGGAGACAAAAGGGATTTGCCTGGGCCTGTCCCCTTGGGGCTGACAAAGAAAACCAGGTCTTGGAGGGGAGCTCAAAGAATGGGGAGACAAGACCATGGAGACTTCCTTGGGCTAGGACAAGGTCCACAACTAAGGCTTTGCTTTGATGGACTTCTTAGAGTGGGCCAGATAGATTTGAGGAGGCCTAGATTGTCAGTGGGAATTTCAGGGCAATCAGAATTGGTCACTACTGCTACTCAGGCTAAAAAAAGACAAAAAGTGGTCCTGCCATCATGTCACCAGGCAGAAGCCTGGCTCACCTTTAGAGTAGCTTTGCAGGGGCTTAGAAAGAGCTGTATCTATAATCTTCCAGCATCTACTGCACTAAGATTCAACCTGCATGACCAGGTCCCTGTGGTTATCTCATCTCCCACAACACTGTCATAGGTTTATCATGGCCCACCCCAAGCTGGTCCCCACCTCTGAGCTTATGATCTTCTCGATGCAGAAAGATTTTGCCTTAGATCTTCACAGATCGACTTCTATATGGCTCTTATCTATTTGGGGAGACCCACCCCTCACTGTGTTACCTTCTCTCCTCCTCGTTTTGGTTTCCTCATTACTAGCAAAGGTTTATAAGAACAGGGTGTATGGGGGGTTTGGCCATCATTCACCAAGTATAGTACAGCTACACAGGCAGTGCTCAATAAATGAGGGCTGAATACTTAGTTACAAAGCCAACTTACACATGGAAGAGGAACCATTTTAGACTGTACAGCCTGCTTAAGTCTCAGTTTGCTACCCTACCTACTTATCTGCTGGTTTTTTTTGTTTGTTTTTTTTGTTTTTTTTGTTTTTTTAAATCAGTTTTGCCTTCCAGAAATGAGAAAGACAAGGTCAAAGCAGAGAAACTGCCAGGCCTTGAAAGCTTTTTCAAGGGAGATGCTGAAAGTAAACTCAAGTGAAGTTTTCACTATTTAGAGCCATTTTTGCTTCCCATATCCATTAATGAATGGCTAATAACATTTTATTTGCTTTAAAAGGACTAGCAGGCTCTAATCATAGGGTGTGTTCCTTTTCCAGAAGGCGGATGTTAGTGCTGTTAATCAAAAGCCTTTGAATCAAGGTCAGATGATTTCAAGCAGATTATTTCCCTGCACAACATGTTTTTGTCTCATAGCAACAAATCGTATCATTAAAATCACTAAGTGCACGGACTGAGTGTTTGACTAGCTGTAACTCCCAGTTCTGCAATGGCCACCTGTGGTAAAAAGTTACACCAGTGTATATGAGCAAGTGAAAATGATCCACCTCATTGGTTTTTAAATTAGAATACCAACAATATAATCCCCTGTGTCATCCTCTTGTTCAAAACAAGGATTGAATACCAGAGGGTCAACCAAAATGAAGCCTTCCCGTCTATATATGGAACTTGGGCCATTTTCCCTTGGAAATTTGGCTAGTTGCATAGAAAAGTTGTTAAATTAAAAAATATACTAATTAGATAAATAACCATCGTTTAATTGCCCAAGCTTTTCTTTAATGTTTTTTTTTACATTTTAATTTATTGTGTCTATGTACACAAGCACATAAATACACACATGCCAGGAGGTCAGAGGACAGTTTGTGAGAATTGGTCCTCTCTTTCCACCTTGTGGGCCCCAGGGATCAAACAGGTTGTCAGCTCGGTGACTGGCACCCTTACCTGCTGAGCCGTATTGGCAGATCAAGTTGTAATCATTCTGTAGCACCAGCATGAGCAGACCTGGCTACCTCTATGAGTACTGGTCTAGGTGCTTTACATAGGGTGATAGAACTGAATTTTCTGTTTCCCAGAAAATAGAGTCTAACTCACAATGGAATGCAGATCCCTTACCATGGCCTTGCACCCTGCCTTCTCTGGCGTGCCACTCTCCCTGCCCCACCTCTTCTGTCCTGTTGCCTTGTTCTTGGCACCTAGCAACATCAGTCTCCTTGCCTCTTTGACCTTCTCATTCTTGAGCTTTCAGCTCAACTGTCTATTCAATCAGGCCCACTCTGGCTGCTTGCCTACTAATATCCATTCCAACCCAGGACTTTTTCCTTTGTAGCATATATGTTCTTGTCATGTTGTGTGCCTATTTCTACTTATTTTCTGTCTGCTCACCTTGTGTCTTGTATTATCTATGCAGCGCCTAGCTGACAACATGGCAAATTTTGCTAAGTACATTGATTAATGAATGGACAAGTTCATTTTCCTCCTTTTTTAAATTATTTTTTTACATTCCAATCCCAGTTCCCTGTCCCTCTTCTCCTCCCACTCCCCCAACTCCTCCCCACCTCCCATCTGCTCCTTGGAGAGGGTAAGGCCTCCCCTAGGAAGTCTACTAAGTCTGTCCCATCATCTCGTTGAGACAGGACCAAGGCACTTCTCCACCCACCACACCCCCATGTCTATGCTGGGCAAGGCATCTCTCCATATAGAATGGGCTCCACTCAGTCAGTTTGTGCATTAGAGTTAGATCTTAGCCCCACTGCCAGTGGCCTCATATGTTGTCCCAGTTGCACCATTGTCACCTATATTAAGGGAGACTAGTTCAGTCTTATGCAGGTTCCCCATTTGTCAGACCTGAGTCAGTGATCTCTCACTAGCTCGGGTCAGCTGATTCTGTGGGTCATTTTCCTCCTTTCGAAGACTTGATGTCACAAAAAACTCTACCAATGGCTAGAGGTTCTCTCCCTTCCCCAGAAAGTAGAAACTTCTTCTTATTCATTCAACAAATATTTATAGATCCTCTACTCCCAGGCACATAGTGAGCAAAGATAAATACAATACAGTTCCCTTCTGCAGCTCAAGATAAATAGAGACAGAGAAATCTGTGTGTCTGTAGGTGTCTGTTTTTCAACACAAACCCACACTAGTCAGTGTGTGTGAAGGGAAGGCATACAAATCAGCGGCCACCTACTTGAGAATCGCTGCTCAAAAATAGCTTCCCACAGACTTGTCTCCTGTGCCTAAAATTCCATCAAGAGAGTTTACTCTGTAGGAGATGGAAGGTGGGTGATGTGATAGACAAATGGCTTGCTAGCATAGTAACTCCTCAGTTCTGAGGCAGTGATGAGCACAACATGAAAACAGCAAAAATGAAAATCTTGCACAATCTTAAATGAGCACCCAGCACCGCATGCTGTTTGTCAGTCTCACGAGCCACTTGGCCTCAGTACAGACAGTCTTCATGTCACAGGGCTCTTACCACTTGGAATTGTAAACCAAGCCTTAAATGAGGTTCTCCATGTATCAGGGAAAACAGTCAACATTTTTCTTCCTTATTAAGAATGGTAGTAAAAGAGCTTGTGAGGGAGAAAATAAAATCTGATTTTCAAGTTGTCAAAAAACATCATGATAAAATGCAATCAGTTTAGCCAGGAAACAAAATGGCCAACATAAACTGTTAGAAGAACTCCCACAGCTGTAAGCAGCTGGGGCTCCAGCAAGGCAACTCCTTCCTTTATCATTGCTTCCATCTGGTTTCTTTTTCCTTGCTTTAATTGTACATGCATTCTAGCATACAAACAATCACACGCAACCTCTTTTTTTTTCTTCTTTTTTTTTTGGTCCATGGGTGCATGTACCAACATATCACATTCTGCCTCCTTAGTAAAGAAAGCAAAAATTTTATAAAGCACAAGGGCTCATTAGACTGAATTCCTTCTTTTGCCTGAATATATTTGTATTGTGGTCTTGATTTGCTTGCTGAGCCACAGGCTTCATCTGGTGACCTTCAATGGGCGGGTCCTCAGACAGCAGGGGCCAACTTCTGGAGCTGTGGTGAAGAACATGTAAGCTATTTCATTTCTTGTTTTCATCTGCTTTTAATATTTTTTTTTTACATGAAAAGGGTGACCAGTAACGTTACTTTTGCTTTAACTTGCAAAATGCAAAGACGAACGTTTGCATGGTGAGCATTATTTATTTATATATTCATTAACAGGCAAGGAAGAAATGCTCCTCTAACGCAGAGTAGAGCCACGTAGCCATGGTTTCCACTGCACAGCCTCCCTCAGGTGAACAGCTCTTTTGAAGTGGTTTTGTTGGCAATTAAGTGCAGTTATAGCCCTGACATGAAACTGAGCATTTGTATACCTGTCCTGAATGTTTAAAATCCCGAAAGTGAAGGCCTCCTCTACAGGCCTGGGCTGTGGGATCCATTTCCAAATCACAGGCAACCAAGAGCAGCTAGTGTGAGGACTTGCCGGCAGACAGTTCCTTTCCTGGAGCCTTTAGTGCATTATCCCATTTAGTCCTCACAGCAACCTCCATGGAGCCCTTGCTGCTGGGCACATCATTAATATTCCAGGGCTGCAGTATCCTGCAGAGAACCTTAAGCACTAGGCCACCCTGATTCCTTCCCTGTGATTAGGGCTCTCAGGAGTAAGGGTCAAGGGTATGCTGCATGAACTAAGGCGAGCTCAGGCTTTATGCATTCTTTTTTGTTCTTCCTTTCAACTTTTATTTATCTTTTAATTATAGGAGTAGTTTTCTATTTAGAAATTAACAAAAGTATATAAGATTGCAAGGGAAAACTACCCTTACTTTCTCTCATGTTAATAGCTGGTCAACTATATGTAGTTTCCTTTTGAATAAACACATATGGGATCAACGCTGTATCTTGCTTTCTGCATTAATCCTTTTTGTCACAATATGCACACTGTTTTATGCTACACAACAGGGACCAAATAGATCACGGAATAAATAAATCCTAACATGTAGGTGCTCTTCAACCTGTGTTAAGCTATGTCTGAATACATTCATTATAAACTGAGAGTGTCAGGTCGAAATGTATTTACTGTACACTACCCCCACAGCGTCAGTACCTTCGCAGCAGAGCACCCAGCAGCAGATGGAGATCTGGAGCTGACCATGCCGTGACTCCCTTCCATCTCTACCCAGTCCATCATTTCATACCATCCTGAAGTTACACTCTTAAGTCATGGCTCAGCTCTCCTGCTCTGCCCCTTATTAACAGGGTTCTATGTTTTGTTTTGTTTTTGCTTTCAGACAGTGTTTGTTCTTAAAATACATTATTTATTTGTGTGCATGCATGCATGCCCACACATTGAGGCCAGAAAGGAACAGAAGATCCCTTGGAGCAGGCATTCTGCAGGATGCCCACCTTGTTATGTGGGTGCTGGGATCCAAACTCTGACTTTCTTGGTTGATCAGCAAGTACTCTTAATCTCCAAGCCATCTCTCCAGCCACCAATGGTGTTTGGTTTTTGTGGTTTGGGTTTTTTTTATTTTTAATAGTTTTTTTTTTTTAATAGTTTTTTTTTTTTAATAGTTTTTTTTTTTTAATAGTTTTTTTTTTTAAATACTACATGTCAGTGTGTGAGTTTATGCATTTGAGGGCAGGTACCAACAGAAGCCAGAGGCATCAGCTCTGCCTGCAGCTGCAGTTGGAGGCATTTGTGAGTTGCCTGATATAGGTACTAGGAACTGAACTGCTGAGCCATCTCTCCAACCCCCAATGTTTTAATAAACATGCTGTTTGTTTATATTTTTGCTTGTTTGATAGGATACACTACTAAAAGTAAGACTGATGTCCAAAAGGGAGGACTCAAAATTTTTGATAAATAATGAAATTGCACCAATTTCTGTTCTTACCAAAAGTGTATGAAGTATTCATTGCCTATACCCACTAACACTGAGCATGTGCAGGGTTTTTATTTTTTGTCCATCATTACATAAAATGTATCTTTTTTTTAAAAAAAAAAATTGGTGTGTGTGTGTGCGCCCGCGCGCGCGCACGTGCTCACACTCTCTTGGGTGCCACAGTGCACATGTGGAAGCCAGAGGACAATTTTCAAGATGGCTCTCCATCCATCATGTGGGTCCCAGGGATGGAACTCAGGTTTCGAGCTTGACAGCAAGTGCCCTTAATCACTGAGACATCTCACTAGCCCAATTCAGCATTTGAAAATGATGCTGGAAGAAGTATATTCAGTGTCATTGGAAAGTATTTTATATTAGGAATATATGCAAAGGATTTAAAAAAAGCCACTGGAAATAAATGTATCAAAATCCTAACAGGGAATTCTATTTGAGTAAAAGAAATATCCCTTTTTCAACTTTTGGGCATATTTCATTTGGAGGAAACTACCCACAGACTGCTGTTATCAGAAAAAGTATCTTTACGTAGATACTCAGATATGTTTATGCAGTAAGTAGAACTTCAAAGGCTTTGAAAACTAACCTTGTGACTTCTGAGAACTAAACCCTATACCTACTTACCAAAGTTCAGTTCTCAGTGACTCAGACTTAAGAAATCCACCACACCTGTGCCGAGGTTGGCACTCAGCAGGCACCCGGCCCCGTCCACATTCTCTGCCAACTCTGATAGGAAAAGAACAGGGAAATGAAGAACCCAGAAAGAAGCCCCAAGAACTAGGACAAACGAATTTTCTAGAAACCATCAGCATCTTCTCTATGCCTTGAGGCAGATTTCAATTGCTCAACAGAGGGATCCATTTTGTCCTAAAAGTTTCCTACAGGGAGATGTGAGACGGGCCTTGGCCAAGAAAATGCATCCTCTAAGGCCCCCTCACAAATCAACTGCACATGAAACACCCCGCCCCAGAGAACACTTTCCCTCACTGCTGGTCTCGGGACACTGGCAGTGTTGTGAGGCCTCGTCTCCTCGGTCCCTAGCCCAGAACGTCCAGAAGCCCAGAAGCGATAAAGTTATCACTTACATGGCGCCTGGTGATAGGGTCCTCCGGGACAATGATACTGATAGTTCCATGGAGCCTGTGGGGAAGGATTGAGAGGCAGCCTCTGTGCATACGCGGAATACCTCTGAAGTTCAAACTGAGGGAACTCCCTGGACCTCAGAGGCCCAGGGAGGTCCTGCAGGTAACACGTGGAGGTGAGGGGCAGTGGCCTTTCCAGCTGCCTGATGCCCAGGACGTCCTGGGGCTGGGAATCATAACCAGTGTCTATCGTGGGCACATCTGGGGCTGCTCTGTTCCTGTGGGGCCGGGGCCGAGGTATCGTCTCTTGGCCGCCACTGGAGGAGTCTGCCAGAGCATTAGGTAAACTTGGGTCCGTTTTGTCTGAGTCATGGCCAGTGTCGGGAGAAGCTGCTGAAAGCTGCGATCCCAGCCATCTATTGCGTTTCTCCATAAATGAAACCCTGTGCTCTGGAGGGAGGGCTCCAAGCTCAGACTCAGGGTCTCTGGCTTCAGACGAACATGAGCAAACACCTTTGCCAGGATCAGGGTGCCTTCTAAAGAAACTGGCTTCACTCTCCTCCAGGACTTTAGTGCGCAAGCAGGTGACCTGTTGTGACACAGGCCGGTGATTTGCAAGTTTCAGGGGAGGGCTATCCTGACAAAGGTCTCCTGAAGCATGGTCAGGGGCTTGGAGTGCAGACAAGCTCCTGGGTGCCATGTTCCCTGTATTTGGAGCAGGTGGTTCCAATTCCTCTTCCAGGGAATATTCTGGGATTGGTTTCAGCAATTGACTTGGGAATGGTTCTGATTCGTCAACCTCCACAGGAATGCTTCGGTTCATTCTAGTTTTTGGAACAAGAGAAAACATGCCACAGTCTTAGAAGATAGAGCAGTGCTTGGAGTCCCCATTTCATGACCTTAAAGGACCTAGTTCGGGATGTGGTTTAAATTAACAGTAGTGTGACACCACTGTGCTTGCAGGGCCCCAATCACATAACGTTGTTTACTTATCCATTCCAGGCAAAGGCACTAGTGCTTATTAAGATATTTTATCTGGAAGGCAATTGAAGAAATGTGACCAGAAGTCATTGTGTGGTAGGAAATGCTTACCAGCAAGGGGAAACCATGGGTGAAAATCAACTGCCACAAACTGAGGAGAGAGAAATTATCAGAAAGTGGGCTGCTTTGTGTGTTTGGAATGCATGATGAAAAAAAATCCCAGGAACTGATAGGAAACAATCTCCAGGACATACTGTTGGTTGTTTTAAAAAAAAAAAAAAGTGAGAAGCAGGACACTCTGTGTATGAGACTGATACTGCATGTAGGAGGAGCAAAGAGGAATAGATGATGTGTGTGCCTGTGTGCATATCCTCCTGTATGTGTGCAGAATAGATGTGTGTGCCTGTGTGCATATCTTCCTGTATGTGTGCAGAATAGATGTGTGTGCCTGTGTGCATATCTTCCTGTATGTGTGCAGAATAGATGTGTGTGCCTGTGTGCATATCTTCCTGTATGTGTGCAGAATAGATGTGTGTGCCTGTGTGCATATCTTCCTGTATGTGTGCAGAATAGATGTGTGTGCCTGTGTGCATATCTTCCTGTATGTGTGCAGAATAGATGTGTGTGCCTGTGTGCATATCTTCCTGTATGTGTGCAGAATAGATGTGTGTGCCTGTGTGCATATCTTCCTGTATGTGTGCAGAATAGATGTGTGTGCCTGTGTGCATATCCTCCTGTATGTGTGCAGAATGTGTGATGGACACACACCATCACTAAGGGTAGGAAGGAGTATGATGAAGAGTTTTACCTTTTGAACTTCAATTTTCTTTATTTTTTATTCCATTTGGCTATTGCTTAATAACACTAAATAAACTTACAAACCAAACTTAATAGCACCAAATAAAAGTTTCTTAGAAAAAGAAGGCACAAGCTTAAACACACTGAAACAGGTCATAGTGACATTTTCCACTTAAATACTTGGGTCATTTGGAGGGTGTATTTACCTCTAGGCACTGTGCCTGTAACAAAGGTAGCCATGACTAAAGGCTTGTCAAACTACCTCTTGGCTCCCAGAGTGGAGCCCAGGATCCAAGCAATATTGCTTTTATCTCTTAAAATTGACTTACTACAATGGGGAGGGAAAAAAAGCTTCCCTGGTCTGTCTAATCATTAACTAGTTGCTGTGATGCCCAGCTGTAGGGCAAATAGAGGAAAGCCTGGGAAGTGGGGTGCTGTAGGGACACTGGGGGTTCATAGGAGGCTGCAGAGCAAGTATTGTGAGAGAGTGATATGTGTGGGAAATCCCAGCGGTTTAGTCTACAGAGGGCCTTTGTACACAGCACACTTCAAATACTAGAAAGGCTATGTGTAGAGTTTTAAATTTTGACTTTGGATCCATGCAGCTTTTCAACCACTGCCATTGACTGAGAGCCTATTGTGCCTAAAGTCACAGAGTACATAAATTATTGTTCTAAGACAGCTTTTGGAGAACAGGAATTTGCAGTCTTTTACACTCTGTGCCCACTCCAATAAGAGAAGATGGCCTGCACTGCAATGTTCCCCATTCACAGAGCAGGCCAGCAGTTTGCTTCTAGGTGTAACCCAGGGCTTTTCAGACTAGGCAAACATCGACAACTGAGCTAGAGCTTTGGTCCCTATCTAGTGGATCTATAGAAAGCCAGTCATGTTAGCACATGCTTATAATTGCAATTATTAAAGAGGTTGAGGCAAGAGAATGACGTAAGCCGAGGAGAAAAACACTCTGGCACACAGGACGTATCTTCAGCTTCCAGCTGCCCTTAGCTGTCCCTTCCTAGGCTGTTATATGCATCCCTTGGAAGAGATCCCACCCTATAACTTGGTTAGAACTTTTAAAATGACTAAGAACCTATGAAAAGATAAAAAGTAGTCCACCATTTTACTATTTTTTAAATGCGCACCATCATTTTCCTGTTAGCCTTTAAATTTGTCTACAGCTACAAAATGGGATACACTGTGCAGCATGCTCTTCAACTCAGCTGGCAGGGAATCAGAAGTAGTTCCTCAGGGGTGGCTGAGGGCTGTGTGATCTCCTGCATGCAGTCATAAGCCCACAGATGAGTGGGAGGGTGAGGAGGGGGGACAGTGAGCCAGCCAGCAAAAGGATGACATTCTGCCAGCTCTTGTCATGTGATTTACAACCACTGCTCAAATTTCAAACACTTCAGGTGCCAATGTCTCTAGACTCCCCAGGTTTTCAAATGTGGGTATCTGAGAAGTACTTCCTACCAAAAGCAAAGTTTTGGACTTGACTCTTCTAGCTCAGAGGTCTGCCAGGGGCTAATATCACAGGTGACAAATATGGGCATCTCATATGACTTAAAACCAGACTGTGAAGGAGCACATAGCCCCTCGGGTGATAGCAAATAAACCTGTCATGGCAATGACAACACTCTCAGTAAAACTGTAGTATTAGTAATCACCACAAAATTAAAATGGACTCTGAGGTTTTAAATTAGTTACTGCTAAATACACAGACAGCAAGTCCTTACTCGATGTTAGCAGCTCATCCCCAAAGCACAAATGCAATTACAATTGTTTTGCTTTTTAAATATCTGCAAGTAGTGCAGAATGAAAGACTAGACAATGAAAACTCATCAAAAGTAGCCCTAAGACATGGACAGCAGCACCGTCCGCCTGCAAGTCACTTGACCTGTTATAAGAGAGAAAGCACTCAGGAAGGCAACAGGACCCACCTCAGGCCTTTGCGCTCACTGCTCCCTCAGAATACTCTTCCCTCCAAATACCTTCATGGCTCCCTCCTTCCTCCTCAAAGATGACTTCTCAACTGTGGCCTTCTCAGTGAGGGCCCCCTGGTAAACTGTTTACCCTCTCCCCTCACTTCCGTTCCCCCTGCTCTGTCCTTCTGCCCTCTCTAGCAATTATTACCATCTTACATATTACAGCAAGATAATGTAAATATTTAATCCTGCTTGATTCCAAAGTATAATTTCATGACAGCATGATTTGTCGGTCATCTACCCACAGCCCTAGACTCAACACCTAGAACCACACTGGTGCTAGTAGATGCTCAGTAAAGATTTGCACACCAAATAAATGTTCACTGTCTACTGTACAGCAGTGCTTTGTAGCTAGATGGGTCCCTGGCAGGGTTGACATTTGTAGACATGGAACCTCCCAGCCCTAGCCCCAGTCAGAACTGGCACCCCATGGTCAGCCTTGCCCAGCTTCCCCTGGGAGCAGCTCACATAGATTACAGGGCTTTATCAAAGATGCAGTTTTAACTGTAGTAAAGCGTTATAAAAATATTATTCTTTAAAAACAACAACCTAACCATTCCTACTTTTCTTGTTTTTTTTCTAGGCTAGCTTCCGTGTTCTATTCATGTGATCCTCACTCTGGTGTGGCCTGTACTCCAGTCCCTGACACAGGCAAGTCTGAACTGATACAGAAAATCCCTGCTCACTAGCCTTGAACTTGGAGAAAGCCCCTGACCTGAGCAGACAGAAGGCCTGGCAGTCAGTGTGTGGGAGCCCTGGAGCCTATATTGCTGGGACAGCTCGGAAAGACTGCCAAGACCTGACGAATAGAGCATGCCTGCTACACTGTGGCCCATTCTGAGGAAGGGGGGAGGCTATGAGGAAACTGGTGGGTGGGGATCTGGCTGGGACTCCTGGAATTCCCAGGACAGACACCAGGCCCAGCTTAGAGACCATGGTGGGGCAAGGCTCCCAGGCCTGATTCTTAAGTTCCTTAGGTGAACAGATTCTCCCTTGCTTTGCCAAGAGGAAGGGAGTAGCTATCAGAATTGTAAGTCTGTGCCCCTTGACAGAGTAATTTCACTTGTAAGAATTTCCTCTGTAGAGAAGTGTGCATATTGTGGCAAATGAAGACTGTATGATGCAGCTAAGGCTTGAGACAAAATGGCTCTGGGTTTAAAAAGTGTTGTGTATCTGGACAATGAACATTCTTTTAACAAATAATGGGGAAGTGCCATGTGGATTGAAGTAGAAACAGCTCCAAATGTATCATTAAGTTTTAAAAAAATAAACCAACAAGTCATTGTGCTACATGGCTCTCTGTGACATAAGACTACAAGTGCCACATGGTTCTCTGTGACATAAGACTGTACATGTGCCACATGGCTCTCTGTGACAAAAGACTGTATATATCATCTTCTAGAAACTAGAATGGTGGTTATCTCTGGGAATGGAGCAAGGTGAATTCACTTTCCAAACAATCTGCACTTTTTCTAATTTGTACCAAGTGTGTGTGATCTATCTATCGGATTTGCTCTGTTAGAAACATAAAGACCCCACCATTGATCTGGTGTTCACAAAGATTAAGAACCAATTCCAGCCATGACTCCCACTCCACCTCCAGAAGACCTTGAGCTCCTTAGAATACAAAATTCAAAAACAGAATGCCCACTGGGGCTGGCTGGAGCTACAAACAGAGGCTAGGTACCAAACGCCTGCCACAGTGAACAGCCACAGTTAGGCATGTGGCAGGGTTCACATGCCCTCTGTTCCAAAGACAGCAGTCCTCCTCTTGGAAGTCTCACTCACCCACTTTGGGCTGAGCTCTTGTATTTGTATTCCCTCTTCTATTTTATGAGAGAGGGTCTCACTGTGTATCTGTGGCTGCCCTGGAACTCTTCAGAGACCAGGTTGGCCTTGATGTAGCCCTCTGCCTCCTGAGTGCCTGGAGTGGGGGTAATTAATTTATTTTTTATCTGTATGAGTGTTTTGCCTGCCTATATATTTGGTACACATCTGTGCCTGGTGCCCTTGGAGGCCAGAAGAGGACACTGTATCCCCTGGAACTAGAGTTACATATGCTGGTGAGCCACCATGTAGTGCTGGGAACTGAACCTGGGGCCTCTACAAGGTCAGCAGCCTCTGATCCCTGAGCCATCTCAGTGATCAGTCCTCTTCATTTTCCCTGTCTCTCTGTCAGTTTCTCCAAACCTCCAGCCTTCCTTTTCTGCTCCCAGGTCCAAGGCTGTCATCCTCTACCCTCTCCCACCCTAAGCAGGACTGGCTTTGTGAACAAGGTCTTATCCAGCAAAGACACTCCCCTGACAATGTGTGCCCCTGGTTTCCCTTTCATAGAATTGCTCACACTCCTCCCTCCTGCCTTTCTCTGCACACAGCCCATCAGCTCTGCTCAGATCTTTCCCCAGCATCCATTTCCTACTGTATCGTCTCACACCTTCACTCACCAGAGTCCTAGAAAGGGGCCCATTCATCTTCACAGCACCTTTATGTCTCTCCAGAGCCTCTGTCCCTGTGGTCACACTGGCCTCCCTTCCTGCATGTCCAGAAGACAGCTTCCTTCCCCTTCCTGTTTTGAGAAGCAAGTCTCTCTCAGGACACATGTTAACAGACCTGATGGCATGCCTACAGTTTACTGTGGCTCTGACCCACAGGTGGCCTTACCCTGAATCAACATGTATTTCTCAGGTGTGAGATACACACACAATTTAACTGCTTCTGGATGCAGACTTCTGGATTCTGATTGCTTCCCTACCAGCTGTGTAATTAAATGTTATGACCACAACAATGTTACTTAACTTCTCCAGGTCTCATCTATAAAAAGGGGGAAATAGCAACTCTGTCCCATGGGGGGGGTGTTATGAGGCTAAAAAGCGATAGCATGCCCAATGTAGAGGCTGGTCCATATCCAATTCTTAAGTTATTTTTAATCCAGCAAGAGACTTTGGCTTTTTTCTAGATGCTGTCCCCTGCAGGTGTACCAATTACAAAGAGTGTCACCCAAACCTAGTGTATGGAGTTTGTACCCATGTAACCAACCATTCATTGTACGTGAGAGAGCTCCCAACACATTTGATCCACATCAGCTCCTCTGGTCCTGGGCCACAGGCATGGTGAAAGGTACCATTCTGCTATTCTTTAATGACACACATAGAAGAGTTTTGCCAAAGTCACATAAGAGATTGGTGAAGGCAAATCTACCTGAGAATCTCTCCGCAGTTTCCACAGGCCACTGAGATCCAGGGCTGGCAAATTTTTCCTAAAAAGACCAAACAGCAATCCTTTCTGCTTTATGGTTCATATGTTGTCTCTTTCTTATATTTCACTGTCTGTGTGTGTGTGTGTGTGTGTGCGCGCGTGCGTGCGTATAGATGTGCACCCACAGAAGACAGAATTGCTTTTATTTTACTCCTCTGAGGCAGAATCTCTCACTGAACCTACTCTGACTGGCAGGTGAACTATAGTGTCACCTGACTGTGATCCCAGCACTGGGTTACAGCCATGCACAGCTATGCACATCTTTCCCATGTGTTCTGGGGATTTGAACTCAGGTCCTCATGCTTCACAGCAAGTCTTTTAACCACTGAGCCATCTCCTTGCACCTCACTACTTCTGTTGTTGTTTTTTAACAACCCTTTTAAAAATGTAAAGATATGGGCTAGAGAGATGGCTCAATGGTTAAGCATGTATACCGATTGCTCTTGCAAAGTACCCGCATTCTGTTCCACAGTCGATAGTTTAGAACAAATGCAACTGCAGTTCCAGAGAGATCTGGTCCCTCTGGCCACCACAGGCAACTGTACTCACATGCACATACCCCCCCACACATGCACATACCCCACACACACATGCACATACCCCCCCCCCCCCACACCCACACCCCCCCCCACACCACACACCACCACCCGCCACACCAAA